AAAAAAATGTCTTTACCACGAGGATCCAATCTATTTTCAAATAAATAAATTGTCGAGGTGCTAGCAGTTGCATTATCAAGCGTTAGCGCCATAACTCTCTCAGTTAATAAATATTCTTGCATTTTTTTGAACACCCCTAGATATTATCATTCATAAGTACTATATTTAATAAGATAAGGTGCAAGTATTTTTCTTAGAATTTTATGCCAAATATATACCTTCAATTTAGTACATTGTTCTAACTGAACTTGGTTTGCTTGTTGAACTTGAAAAAAAGAGAAACTAACTAAATTGAATTTGTTTGCAAAAGTAGGAAAAAGAGTGGTTATGGCAGAAAATAGCCCAACTATAGCCACAACCTTCAAGATTAATTAAGTCAAGTGAACTAAACTAAAACTTTAGTTCACTTCACTTAATATGTCGTACAAAACCAGTATGCTAACTGGTAAATGATTCACAACAGTAACTATTTTTTGAGGTATATAGTCATGTACAGTTGTTGTGTTTGCCAAATAGTGTAATGAAATGGGAAACTGGTTAGCAATTTTACTTCAAGTGGTTAATTGTTGGCTTTGGTCAAACAAGCTTTGACCAAGCTAGCTTGAATTCGAGCTTAATTACCCTCCAAATAAACCAAGTTCGAACTTGATCTTCATTTCCTAGGTTGATAGGCTTGGGCTCGAACTCGAGCTTGTTCTTGTAGCATTGGAGTCGAGCTCGATTAGCCAAAAACTTGGCTTAGCTCGGCTCGAATACAATCCTAATTTATTGGTATGCGATGTAAGTGGCAAATTTTCAAATTGATGGGGGTAACTTATGTTGGAGTTGTCGACCACTTCAACAATAAAGGGCCACGCAGATGCATTCTTTTCTCTTGTATGAGTGATAGCAAATCATAAGGTAAATTACATAATTATAAACGAGAGTCTGTTGAATGTAGCTTTGTTAATTGGGTGAACCAAAGTAAATTGCACTTATACTTCTTTCTCTTTACTTGATTTATATTTGTATGTGTTTTCTGTTTTTTAGTTTCATATTACTCTTTATTCTTTCAACTTAGTTGTTTGTGTTTTAGGAGGTGTAAATGATATTAACCCTTTTTCTCTTAAAAGACTTTTGCGTTATATATGTTAATTTACTAAGTTTACATTGCCAAAATTAAACATTAAACACCTCTCCCATTGTGTCTAGATGGCAAACCCTTTAGCCATTAGGGTTATCTATATCCAGAGGATCTTGTGTTTAAATCGTGCAATTACCTTGATTTATTGGGCTTGTAAGTATTTTGTTGTCCCGAGGATACATCAGTTACCTAAAAAAAAGAAAAAAATTAAATGTGAAATTGCAAGGAAAGTATCAAGAACAATGAGACTTGAAAGTGAGGTGAAACTACAAGGATACTTGACTTGAAAGTGAGGTGAAACTACAAGGAAAGTATCAAGAACAACAAGACTTGAAAGTGAGGTGAAACTGCTAGGAAAGTATCGAGAACAATGAGACTTGAAAGTATAATATGTCTCGCAAGAAAGACATCTATCATATTTTTATAATTATCTTGATTTGTTGGGATTGTAAAATGTTTCGTAGTCTCGAGGATACCTTAATTATCTAAAAAAAAAAAAAAAAAATTAAACGTGAAACTGCGAGGAAAGTATCAAGCATAATATGCCAAATCTGAAAACTTGGCAAAAGGAAGGAATCAAATGATTGGAAGGAATCACTTCTTTTTTCTGTACAAAATTCGAGGTGGTTCTAAATTGAATTACTTTTAATACATCCCCTGCTTTTGAGTCAAAATGAACTAATATTAAATTCATTCACTATTATGAAAGTATTAAATATCGAAGAGTTGTTACTGCTTTTACAGAATTTGAAATAAAAATAATTTTGAGTGCATGGTTCGATATTATATAAAAGAGCTTTTGGAGAAAGTGCATGATAATTAAAATTTTAATGTTAAGTGTTCTTGCCAATTATTTGATGTTAATGTGTTAAATTCTCTTTCTTTGTGCATGATAATACACTTTATGCAAAGTCCCAAATTAAATTAATACCATAACCAAATTTAAAGATTTATTAAGGTTTACAAAATTGAGAACACTTTCTGAACAACATCTGACGGGCTCAAACTCTAATGATAAAATAAATAAATAAATTAGGACCCTTTTCACCTGTCTTGGAAAGTCTTTGGAACTTACGGCTATTATTTATATAACTCTTTAGGGTGTATTTGGATCAGGGTATATAAGATAACAGCAATAATCTTAATTTATTTGGCTAGATTTTGGTATTTGGTTTGTAAGTAATAAAATATAATAAAAATCTTTTATTGCAAATAGTATTTACTATTGGTAATGTTAGGGGTTATCCGATAACCCCCTCGGCCGAGATTAAAACATTACTAGGCAATCTTTTTTTTAATACCTATTTGCACTTAATTAAATATCATTTCGAACACAATTACCCTCAAATGTCTACCAAATAACAATTACTCAATCCCTTACATTTGACAAATTAGCTAAAACACCACAACCATAAAAAAGTTTACAAGTTAATAGAATACCCCCAACCACCCAAGACCACCGTCGATTGTTACTCACCACCACCAGCCGCCGATGTCATTGGCCATAATGGTGCACGACCAACGGGATTTGACTGGTCGTGCACTGATAAGGCTTTTTTCGGCCATGGATCACAGCCAGAAATGGTCAGATATGGTATTTCTATGGTCGTTTCACGGCCATAGATCTGGCCTGAAATGGCCATAGATCTGGCCTGAAATGGCCATAGATCTGGCCGTGAAATAGTCATGGATTTGTGATTAATGATCGAAAATGGCTTTGCTGGTGTACAACCGACCATATACGACCAGTCTGCGCCATTCCGTGGACTGTCGACGGTGGTAGTTGGCAGTGGTTTGGGGTGGGTGGGGGTTATTTTACCACAAATTAAAGTTTTATATAGCTGATGTGTTTTAGCAAAATTTCAAATACAGGGGGTAAAAGAAATGACTGAAAAAATAATATTAAATTAATATTTGAAAATGAGGACAATTTAATAATCTATATAACATACTCATCCATTGATTCTCCCAACTAAACATATTATTCATCAATTTATTTGAATCAACTAAATATATTTTTTAAATATTTCCAAAGCGATATATATATATATCATCCCCTATAATAAAACATTATATCAACTAAAAATAGGGGTTTTTATATATTTTATATAGAATCTGACTTACGGTACTTCTGTAGTACGTAAAGTTTGCTTTAAAAAGGAAAAATAAAACAGCTTTATTCTTGCCATATTCACACGCATATATCTATTTTTATATAATAAACAATAAAGAATCCTGCACTTTAAAGAGGCTTGCCCAGTCAAATTTGCAAAAAAATCAAAAGTTTAATTGCTTCTGTTGCTCATCAGATTTTGTGTTTTTATTGTTGATCATGTAAGTGATTTTTTTTGCTAATTGTGGTCCGGATTTCTGGACCATTTGACTCACTGCAAAATTTGTAGTTACTATTCAGTATTCGTCGACATATTTTTTGCTTCTAACTTTATGGCACATTTTTTATTCATTGATCAGGCGGCCCGACTTGACTTTGAATATAGGTGATGGTGCACATGGCCAATTTTCTGTTGACAAATGTCGAAATGAAACAAACTGGAGATCGAAAGAGTCCCAAGAAAACCTACCTTCTTGGTGGATCATTAAGGAACAACTGAAAACTTTTTATCACAATGCGGAGAAAAGAACAGCTGTAATATTAATCAGTGTCATCATATGGGTGGATCCTTTCCTCTTATACATTCTGGAGATTAGAGATGATAAAAAATGCATTTTACTTGAACGGACGACTCCATATATCATTTGTGCTCTCCTTACGATCTTTGATTTCTTATATGTCCTCTCGTATGGACGTCGGCTCGCCGAACTGTATGAAGATTTAGAAAGGGATGTAATAACAAAAAGGTGTTTCTGGTTATTTAACATATTGAACATTCTTCCTCTTCCACAGGTAAGGCATGCAATCTCTCTCTTTCGCAGCAAAGTCTTCTTAATCTTTGTCTAATCATTTTCTGACTGCATGAATTTGTATACGTAGGATTACTCAAACATACTAGCTAAGATGAATTCATCTGTATATGTAGCATTAGTCATATATACTATAACATATTTACCGTAAAAACGGACTTCGATCCAATAAAATGATATTGATGTCTTTGAGTTTCTCGCACATTATTTTTCTTTCGAGTTTCCTAAAGTTTTGAGTTTTTTAAAGTTTCTTATATAACCCAATCACATTCTCTAACCAAGCCATGTGACTAAAATTTATCATCAATCTCGTCCACCCTATATGTGTAAGTTTGAATTGTTACATTAATGTATAGCAAATATTTGCTATACATGATTAAATTTAATCTTTGTTTATATTGTCCTACATAAATATAATTAATCTCATATCCGTTGTGGACTCCAAACTGTCTAGGTGATGATGATTTCTCTTCTTTTACAAAGAAAGTTGAGCTGGCGTATTTGGATTGCAGAATTCGTGCTAGTATTGCACCATGCGTCAAGATTCTTTCAATTAATGTATATATGGGGGAGAACATGGCGCCGTAGAGATGCCTTCTTTAGATGGACGCTCAGTTTCTTTTCCCTTTACATAACTGCCAGTCATGTGAGTCTCATTTCATAGATTAGACATACAATTACATACGAAAATTCTCAGACGCAGACATCTTAAATTGTTTTTTTTTGTTTTTTTTTTTTTTTGCTTTAAATCTGACATCCATTCTCTAAGCTATGGTAAAGACAAAAGTTCAGCCAGTTACCTCCATCAAGAAAGGAAATTTTTTTATTTTGGTGTATTCCTACCATCAGGGATAGATGTTTGGATTTTAAAAAAATCACGACGTCTGTAGAAGAGAATGATTATATATAGATTAACTATTATCTTTTTGGCGTTTTAGTTATTTGCAGGCTTGTTGTATAACGGAGCCATATACACCGAGACAAAATGCTGGAAGGAAACCTGCAGAAAACATAAACCATGCAGTATTGATATTTTCAATTGTGATGACAATCCAAAAGAAATCAATCTTCTTAATGATTTTTGCTCTAGAAATACCACACCCCCCTATGATTTTGGAATATTTCTTGAAGCCCATCAATCTGGAATGTTGCAGCAGAGGAGTTATGCTGAGAAGATAACGTTTTTCTTCAGATGGGCCTTGCAGAATATCAGGTTTGTGCATAATAACGCATGTTGTTCGTCAGATCCACGATACCACAGATATCATTCTTTATTGAATTGTCTTACCATATTTGACTTATTTTCTCAGGACATGATTAAAATATGTTTGGGCTAATACTACGCTGACAAACGAATCTCATAAATTTTCACTCACAAACCCAACATGTCATTGAGTTGACATTACCACGTTAACTGATGACTTTGACTAAACATGAATGGTTGTTCTTTAGGGAGAAACGGTCGTTCCTTATGAAGAAATTATTGTTCCATTTATAAAGAACGGTCGTTCCTATAAGGAATTATTGTTCCTTATTAATGGAATAACCATTCCTTATGGAACAACAACTCCTTCTTATGGAAGAAGGAGTTGTTGTTCCATAAAATAGAACAATAGTTCCTTATAAAAGAATTGTCGTTAGTCTTTAAGAACAATTGCTCTTTTATAAGGAATGATCGTTTCTTATAAAGAAATGACTGTTTGTTTCTAGGAACAGCTGTTCCTTGTACCTTCATACCTGTTGCATAAGGGAAGGAATGATCATTTCTTAGAGAAGAACAACATTCTTTCTGTGAGACACGACCGTTCATAAAAGCTATTCCTTCCATGAGGAATGGCCACTCATAAAAGTCACGTTAGATTTGTGAAAGAAAGTTTGTGAGATACGTTTGTCAGACTATCTTTATTCATTTACTAATCGTGTTAGGTTACTTAACTTTTGTGATATGTTTCCATTTGGTAGCCCTGACCTATCCATTATTGATAGTATAATCTCCTAATATGGAAATTATGCAACTACCCATTATTGTTCTTTGTTTTCACTTAGATTTCAGATGTATGAATATATATGTATATATTATGATAAAAATTCTCAAAATGTGACTTTCACATTTTCTTAAACCTATAGTTTTGCTTAACAACTTGACAGGGGTTCCGCAAGCGTACAAAATCGTACAAGTAATATAATATAAGTATGTGAATATCAAACCCTAAAAAATTACTAGCAAACAAGTACCAAAATAAATTATCCTATTACTATTTGATTAATCGAAAATTATAAGAATAAATTAACACATTAAAACAATTAAAACTAAAAGAAAAAGAATCACAAATCAAATAAAAGGCTAGTTATAAAACAATTTGACTAAACCTAGGACACAGATTTCACACCAATTTAATCCTATGTATTAATAATTATTGTTAAAATTATTAAGCTTTTTCTACATGTCAAACTCCCTAGAATTCTAATAAATTTCTTTCGAACAATTACCAGATTAACCATTTATTACTAACCCAAGATATCTCTAAATTGGATCTAAGTTTTAAGAGATCATTACGTTCTATAGAATTTACCAAAAGCCTCATAAATTGCAGTAACCTATCTTTAGCATTAGTTTAATCTATGGTTTTATTACATTAGACCAACTAGATATCATCTCTCAATCTTAACTTAGTCCATTAGATCAATCAACTCTTGGTACCAAAAGAATTGAAGCATTAAGAACCATAATAAAACTTAGAAAAGAATGCTTAACAAATATTAACAATAATCAATCAACACATATTCATAAACTTTGGTTACATCTTAGCCCTAGAAACTTTATTTAGTTTATAATAAAATAAAAATAAACAACCATTGTAAACATAAGTTCAAGATAAAGATAAAAGAAAACTTCCCTAGATGATGAACCAAAACCCCAAGATGTGTTGTTTTAATTTACAAATAGCGCTCATCTCCTCTCTATCCTCTTCTCTCCCCTTAAATAATAGCTAAAAACATATATTTATAATGCTAGGGTTTTAGGAGTGTGTTTACAACAATTGTACTCAGATTAGAACTATTAAATCCAAAAAATTCATAATTACATAAACCCAGATTTTTTTAGAAATCGTCGTCATGTCACGGCATGAGTTAAATGTGCTACGGCATGTGCACAATCTTCAATTTCATCTATCGTTGTGCCACGGCATGGGTAGAACTTGTGCCGCTACACACAAAGATGCTCTTTTTCTTGTATGAAGCTTTCTGAATTTGCTAAAGTCTTCAACATACGAATTATAGATCTTTCCGTTAGCTTTCCAATGCTTCAAGAATCATCACCAAAAGAGGTCTACAGCTCCAGATATCATTGAAATACCAAGGCATGCTCAATACTTAAAACTATTTTCCAGATTTTGCAATTAATCTTCAAAACGTCGTAACTTCTTCATTTTAACTCCGAATCTCAAACCACTTGTTTTCAGTTGTCACAAATTCCATCGCCAACATAATTATTCATCTAAATATTATTTTTAAGCATTTATAACCTGAAAATACATAAAACATACTCATGATTCCATAAAGACATTTATGAAATAATTAAGCCAAATCACACAACTTAAACCTAATATCTCACAAATAATACCAATAAACTACTAAGTAAAAGGGTATTTTTAAGTACTTCACAACTCAGTCCAGACAAATCTTCATGGTTGTTTCTTATACGAGAAAGTTTTACTGGAATCTTGTTTTTTAATGTTTATAATCAGCGGACCAATAATAAACATATTATAGGACTTTAACATCCGTGTTAAATGAATATAATGATCTCATCAACACTTGATTTAATTATAATCTGATATATGTATACATACATTTGAATTCAATATTTTGCAGTAGTTTTGGTCAGAACGTCCGAACAGTTCATCAACCAGAGGGAAACATAATGGTACTTTGTATTATCTACACTGCAGTGGTGTTGTTCTTCTTTCTGGTTGGAAAATTGCAGGTTGGTAAATCCTTTTCCTATGTCTTATCACTCATAATTTTGCTAAAAATAACCAAAAACATAACATGAAACAGCAATCTCTGCAAGCTGAAGATGAAGGATGGGCCCGGATACAGAAGTTGGGAGAGATAAAGCGATGGAAGCCTTTTGAAAATCTTCCTGAGGATCTTAAATCTCATTTTAAGAATCAGATTTACCGCTATGATGTATTGGGGGAAATTAAAGCCGTTAATATAGAAATTATTTTCAATGGCCTTCCTGAGAAACTCAGAAGAAAAATGAGTTACGAACTCTGTAAAGATCTACTCGAAAAAGTGAGTTTGGACCTATGACTTTGAATCTCAGTCTTGTTCTCGTTCTCATTCTCATTCTATTCTGATTCTTGTATGTGCATTAATTGGTAGAACAATTTAAAGGGTTGAGTGAAGAAAAAATGAATGCTCTGCGTGAACATGTCAGGCCAGTTTTCTTTCCTCGGCGCAGTCGTATTATCCGAGAGGGAGACGCAATTGATGAGATGATCTTTGTGGTGCAAGGCAGGCTTTGGAGCTACACGTCGAGGAGTGACGGTGGCAATCAAAGAAATGAGTATTGGACAAATGGTGACACGTGTGGAGAAGAACTTGTGGATTGGCTTCAGGCTGATCCCTGCAACTCTGACCTCCCAATCTCAGTTAAAACTATTCAAGCGGTAAGTGATGTTGATGCCTTCATCCTTATGGCACATGACTTGAAAATGTTATTTGCTAATATTTAACTATTGATCCAAAACGGTTGTAACCTTCATATTTGACAAGTAAATTACTTTAATTTATTTTTAATTTAAAATCATTTAATCACCTTAAAACACGTAGTTTGTATAAAAGAACTTATATAAAAAAGTATATTCATAAAGTATTATTGATATTTGTTGATGAGGAATCTGGTTTTGAATACATAGAAAGGTACAACTAGACAACTTATGATAACTGTTATGCCTGGAAAAGTAGAGCTGATGCAGAGCCCAGTTAGCACAAATGGTCAGAGTCTAGGCAGATCCTACAGCCAGTCAGGCGCGACCACGTCGCATGTTGGCGTGAGCAGCATGCTCCTACCAGTGCAGTGGGTGCACGCCAGACTGTTGAGAGGCTGGAGGCCGTCCACGTGTCCAATCCCTGCATGAAACGAGGAAATCATACAAGTAGGTGGATAACGGGATGCAAAGAAGGATTTGCATTGTACCTGACCCCTTTTTATGGATTCAGTAATCATTACCTCAATGTATCCCACTATAAATAGAGAGCTTCTCTCTTGTTTGGGGGATTGGCTCATTTTTTACTCTTGATTAGCTATCTTCTCTCTGTAATAGCTTATTCTCTCTCTCTCATTTGTATTCTCAACACTCTATAGTCAGCTCGCTAAGTCGCGGCCTGATCTTCCAAATATAAATACAATATCAGTGGACGTAGGATTCGCTTGTTTAAGCATCCGAACCACTTTAAACATTATCTTTACACCATTTACATTCTTAATCCCCCATTCACGTGTGTCTTCTGGGCCAGCTCAGCATTTCACATGTGTGTTTAGTTGGTGTCAAGATCATGCAACAACAGTTTAGCGCTAGAAGGAGGGGCCTAATATAGTATTCGTCCTTCATCAGGAGAATCTCTGTTTAACTGGTCCTACAACAGCAAATGACTAGCTGACTCGAACCTGAGCGAACCAATCATGTTGCTGAGGAGATCCCCAGGTACAAGACACTTCTCCCGAGGTGCCCTCAGTTCCACAAAATGCCATGAGGGATATCCCTTCAAGCTCACAACTTGACCCTGCCATCATGAGCTACCTGGAGAGGTTCAACAATACTCTCCAAACCGTTAACCAAAGGTTGGACCGTTTGGACCGGGGCATACCACCCGAATCAAATAGTGTGGTGCAATCGCAAAAAACACTTACAGGTCACGTGAAAGAGCATCAAAGGAAGGGTAAGCAAGTGGCGAACAACAGGCCTAAGGGCTCCAAAAGGCCGGCAAACACCAACCACGTCCTGAATAGAATACCTGTGGCGTTAAAGCTCGATGAAAGGTCGCATCCCGAGCCTTCCCACGCCACGTCACATGAGCACTCCCATAAAAGTGCTAAGCGGGACGATTCTCATCATCGCCAGAATAACGATCCCGATCGTCATCGTGCGGGAGGTTCCCACATTTCACGGGGTGGTTCGTACCACCACGAAGGTCGTGAAAATTCCCTGCACCATTCATCACCATCACACGACTCTAGCCAGCGTGTGTCAAAGGCGACCGGAACTGCCGGCCAAGGCGAAGAGGAATCCGACCTCCAGACTTTCCTCAATCGCAATCGCAGGGCTTGAACTCGCATGGGGGAAAGCAATCCCCAGATAGCTCCGCTGCCTCAGATTGAGGAGCTACAGCGAGCTCTAGATCAACTAAAAGCTCAGCAAAACGAGCAAGGGCAGGTCGCAGCAGCGTCTCCCTTCTCTCCAGCGGTATTAGCCGCCCCTCTCCTGCCAAGATTTAGAATGCTCGATATACGGGCGTTCGATGGAAATTCTGATCCGCAAGATCACTTATACGAATTCAACGACCTGATGGAGCTTTACCAGGTTTCAGACTTGGCAAAGTATCGTTGTTTGGCAGTAACCCTAACCTCTCATGCCAAACGATGGTTCAGGTCGCTCCCAGTGGGGTCGATCAGCTCGTGGCCTCAGATGAACATGACGTTCTTGAGACACTTCAAAGCGAACCGAAAGTTTTCAATGCCTTTAAGCTACCTCAGCAACATAAGGCAAGAGAGGGATGAATTCCTCCAGTCCTACATCGACCGATTCCATAGAGAACTTAATAAGGTAGCTCACACTCCCGAAGAGTCTATTCGGACTCTCATTATAGTGGAGTTCGCCCACAGACTGACCTGTGGAAAGAGCTATAGGCTGAGGATGATGTTTCCCTCATCTGCTTCTACAACCTTGCGGAGAAGTACCTCCGTATTAAAAACTCCGTGGCGGTGCTCCACCATTGCGACCCTGACACTTCAAGTAGTGCGCCTAGTCGGGGGGAAAGTAGGAGAGTTGATCGCAGATGGGCTAATGACGATCAACGAAAAGGAAAGAAGCCACGGTTCGAGCCCAAAAAGTCTTATGCTCCAATTCCTCATCGCGATCGCAACAGGAATCAGTATATGCCTTTGAATACGTCTGTATCGGCTATTCTTGACAAGTCAGAAGAAGCTGGCCTGCTTGGAGAGCCTGAGCCCATGAAAAATTCCCCATCAGCCAAAAATAGTAAAAAATATTGTCGCTTTCATCGGGATAATGGGCATCACACCGATGAGTACCGAGCTCTCAAACAGGCAATCGATGACCTCATCAAGCAGGGGCATTTCAAAGATTATATTGATGACTTCACTCCCATGCGGGAGAAAAATCAAGGGGAACTAGGAAAGAAGCATCGTGATCGCAAGGGTATATGTAGCGTCGGAATGATCTTTGGGGACCGCACCTCGCGGGGAACTCGTGAGGTGCCCAAGAAAGATATGCCTGCGTAACCCATCACGATCCCATCAGTGTGATGAACACGACACGATGACCACCAAAGGTTAGCAAGGAGGAGGAAATTACCTTCTCCGAAAAGGACGCAGTTCAGTTACATCATCCCCATGACGACGCTCTTGTGATCACGTCCCTGATAGGGCGCTTCGACGTCCACAGAATGTTGGTGGACAACAGAAGTGCTGTGAACATCCTGTTCCAGACAGCTTTCAAAAGAATGAACTTGGACGAGGCCGACCTGAAGCCCGCCTCGATCCCTCTATACAGATTTACAAGGGACCACCTAATCCCCAAAAGAACGATCTTGCTTCCAGTCACACTGGGTGACTCTGACGAGGTGACCAAAGTAACTGAATTCTTAGTAGTAGATTGCCCGTCTGCTTTCAACGGCATCCTGGGGTGATTTCTATTAAGAAACTTCAAGGCGGTCACTTCGATATACTATCTCAAGATGAAGTTCCTCACCCCGACAGGGATAGGGGAAGTTAGCGGATCCCAGCACATATCTTGCAATTGTTATGTAAGGGTAGTGCAGATGGCGTGCAAAGGGAAGGGCATCTCGCGCGGAATTCCCCGACAGGCAATGGCGATCAGCCGAATCGAGCCGCAGCCTGGCCCAGCCGAGGATAATATGGATCCTCATATTCAGGAATACCCTTCCAGTGGGCCAGTTGAGGATCTATCTGAGGTGTTGGTCGACCAGAGCGAGCTGAGCAGAGTGTTGAGGATTGGGAGCAATCTCAACCCCCAGCTCACTACCGAACTGACCAACTTCCTTAGAGAAAATATTGATGTGTTCGCATGGTCACATGTAGATATGGTCGGGATTAGCCCGAATATTATTTTCCATGCCTTGAACATCGACAGTGAAGCCAAGCCAAGCCAGTCTGCTAGAATAAAAGAGCGATGGATCTGGAGCGATATGCTGCCTTGAAGCATGAGGTAGATAATCTCCTTCGGAATAGATCCATCTGAGAAGCGCTCTATACGATCTGGGTTGCCAACTCGGTTCTAGTAAAGAAGCCCAACGGAAAATGGCGGACCTGTGTCAACTTCACCGACCTCAACAAAGCATACCCAAAAGATAGTTTTTCCCAGCCCAAGATCGACCAGCTTGTGGATGTCACCTCCGAGTACAAGCTACTGAGTTGTATGGACGCGTACTTGGGATACAATCAAATTCTGATATACGTGCCAGACGAAGAGCATACCTCCTTTGTTATAGATCGGGAGCTGTATTGCTACAAGGTTATGGCTTTCAGCCTCAAGAACGCTGGCGTGACTTACCAGCAGCTGATTAACCAGATGTTCTCCGAACAGATCGGGAAGAGAACAGGGTCCAATGGCCAGTGTATTATGTGAGCAAGTGTCTGTTGGATGCTGAGATACGGTATCCGAAAATGGAACGATTAGCTTATGCCCTACTGATCGTTTCCAGAAAGTTCGACCTTACTTCCATGCCCATACGATCTATGTAATGACCAATTACCCACTTAGGTAGGTCCTCAAGAAACTAGAGGCATCGGGTAAGTTGCTTAAATGGGCCATGGAATTAAGTTAGTTCGATCTGAAGTACAGACTGAAAGCAACCATCAAAGGGCAGGCCGTTGCCGACTTCATATCAGAATTCTCATATCATCCGACGAATGAGTCGGAGCAACAGTCAATGAATTCATTCAGGAAACTGCCTAAAATCTATCGACCTGGAGCCTCTACGTCGATGGATCATCGAACAGAAATAGGGTCGGGGTAGGTCTTCTCCTTTTGAGTCTCGAAGGGACTCGCATTCATGGCATTCTCCAATTCGGTTTTAAGGCGACCAATAATGAGGCCAAGTATGAACCTCTACTCGCTGGATTGCGGTTGGCCAGAGAAATGGGTTCAACCATGATCAGCATCCACAACGACTCTATGCTGGTCGTTAACCAGATTTTGAGGGAGTACCAAGCCAAGGAAGAAAACATGATCAGCTATTTGAAGAAAGCTAAGGGCGCGCTCGAGTCGTTCAAGCACTTCACCATCACACAAATTCCTAGAGATAGCAACTCTATGGCAGATGCCTTGGCAAGGATAGCCTTGTCATTGGATTCAGATGCACCGGAAAGCATTCCTATTCAGTTCATCTAGACCCCCAGTGTTAGCCCGATCGAACAGGCCGTGAATGTAACAAAATCAGTTTTCTGGATGACCTTTATCTTTCAGTATCTCAGAGATGGGACCTTGCCCAACGACAAGGTCGAGGCAAGGACCCTGCGAATAAGATCTGCTCGTTACACCCTCATTGGAGACCGACTATATAGGCAAGGGTTTAGCACCCTTCTCTCCGATGTGTAACCAGCGAACAGACAGATTACATCATGAGGGAGATACATGAAGGGATCTGTGGTAATCACACCGCCGCACGATCTCTCACCAACAAAGTTGTTCGTCAAGGGTACTACTAACCCATAATCCAAGAGGACACCTACAACTTTGTCAAAAGGTATGACAAGTGCCAGCGGTTTGCGAACATACCGCGAGCTCCTTCCCACCAGTTGATAACCATGACCAGCCCTTAGCCATTCTCCATGTGGGGAATCGATCTCATCGGTCCCATGCCAGTTAGTAAAGGGGGAGTCAAGTATGCCGTGGTCGCGGTGGATTATTTCACCAAGTGGGTCGAAATAGAACCGTTAGCCGCGATCATGACCAAAAAGCTCAATGATTTCTTCTT